TAATTGTATGTTTCTAAGCTTTTTCTGTTGGTAGGCTTTTTATTAGTGATTTAGTTTCAGAGCTTGCTATTGGTCTGTTCAGTGATTCAGTTTCTTTCTAATTCAGTCTTGACAGGGTGTATGTTTCCAGAAATTTATTCATTCATATCTTCTAGGTTTTCTAGCTTGAGTGCATAGAGGTGTTCCTAATATCCTCTGAGGGTTTTTGTGTTTGTTTGTTTTTTATATTTCTGTTACCACAGTTTTTTAAATCCTTTCACATATTGATGGACATTTGGTTTGTTTCCAGGTTTTAGCTAACAGATTAAAAATACTATGTACTTTCATTTACAAGTTTTTGTATGAATATATATTTTCATTTCTCTTATGAACCTCCTACAAATTTAAAATGGCTGGGCCATATGCTAAGTGTTTAACTTTAGAAAAAACTGTTTTCCAAAGTGATTATGCCATTTAGCATATCAGCAATTTATGAGAACTCTAGTTGCTACATGTTCTCACTTTGAAATTTATGGTCATGTTAATTTTAGCCATTCTAGTGAGTGTGTTGTAGTGTTAATTTGTATTTCCTGGGTGACTGTTGGAATTGAGCATCTTTTCATGTGCTTATTTTATTGTATATCTTGTCTGATGAAGTATGTCTTCAAATATTTTGCCCAAATGTAATTGGATTTTTTGTTTACTTGAGTTGTAAGAGGTTTTTTATGTGTATTTTCTGATTTCAAGACCTTTGTAAGATGCTTGTATTGTGAATTTTTTTTTTAGCCTGGAGTTTACCTTTTCATTTTCTTACATTGTGTATATAAAGTAGCAGAAGTTTTTAATTTTAATGAACTTTAGTTCATAATGTTCTTTGTTTTATGGCTTTATCTTTTCCTGTCCTAAGAAAACTGTTTAACCCAAGGTCACAAAGATTTCCTCCTAGAAGTTTTGCGGGTGTAGCTCTTACATTTAGGTTTATGGTCTATTTCATGTTTTTTTTTTTTTTTTTTTTTTTTTGCATATGGTATGAGGGATGGGTTGAGATTAATTTTTAATACGAATATTTATTGTTCTAGTACCAATTGTCAGAGTATTCTTTCTCCCATTGAATTACTTTGACCTATCAATAACTGCGATGTCTTTTAGTAAATTAAATGCCAATACTTAAGCAAGTACTATTCTGACTTAATTCTGTGGCTTTACAGTAAGTAGTGAAATCAGGTACTGTTACTCCTCCAACTTTATTCTCCTTTTTCCTGTTATTTTGACTATTGTAGATCCTTTCCATTTTTATGTAAGTTTTGAAACTGGCTTAGTCAGTTTCTACAAAAACACCTGATGGGATTTTGACTGAGATCATGTTGGATCTGTAGATCATTTTGGGGAGGAATAATTCTTAATATTGAGTCTCCTAACCGTAAAAGTAGTACCTCTCTTCAATTATGTAGGTTTTCTTTAGTTTCTCTCTGCATAGTTTTATAATTTTAAGTGTAAAGATCTTGTACATGCTGTGTTATATTTATCCCTAAGCATTGTTTTTGGATTATATTTTAAATATTTTTGATTACAATTTTATTGTTCATTGGGTTTATGTAGAAGTAAATTTTAAAAATATTGACCATACAACCCTGTAAACTCATCTTAGCTGAAGTAACTTGGACTCCTTAGGATTTTCTACATAGATGATCATGACAACTGGATTTAGAAGTTTTACATTCTCTTATCTAACCTGTATGCCTTTTCTTTTATTCTCTTCACTTCTTACAGCTAGGACATCTGGTACAATATTAAATAGAAATGGTGAGAGAGGGTATCTTTGCTTTGTTTCCAATCTTAGGTGGAAAACATTCAATCTTTTACTATAAGTATGATGGTATTACATTGAAGAAATCCTTTTCCTAGTCTGCTGGGATATATTATCTTGAGTGGATGTTGAATTTTTTTCAAGTGCTTTTTCTGCAGCAATTGAAATGATTATAGGTTTTTTCTTCTTTTTTTTTCTCATCATAAGGTAAATTATATTGATTGGCTTTCAGATGTTTAAGCAACCTTGCATTTATGGGAGAAATCTTGCTTGTTCATGATATATTATCTTTTTAATATATTGCTGGAGTTGCTAATATTATGTTAAGGGCTTTTGTGTTTGTTTACGGGAAATATTGTTCTGTAGTTTTTCTTTTCTTGTAATATCTTCATTTTTGGTATGAATGTAATTCTAACCCCATGAAATGAGTTGGGAAATATTCTCTCTTATAATATGAGTTGTATTGGATTTATATTATTTATTCTTTTGTTAAATTTTTTTAACATAGTACTGTAATTTTTTTAAATTTTTTTATTTTTTTTATTTTTATTTTTTGAGACACAGTCTTGCTATGTTGCCCAGGTTGGACTTAAAACTCTTGGGCTCAAGCAGTCTTCCCACCTTAGCCTCCTGTGTAGCTGGGACTATAGGTGTGCACCCCTATTCCTGGCTTTATTATTTCTTCTCATAATGTTTGAGAGAATTCACCAGCGAAGACATCTTAACATGCATGTCATGTATATGTATGTGTGTGCCTTGGTGTATGTGTGTGCCTTGGTACACGTGTGTGTCTGTGTGTGTGTGTGTGTGTGTATAAAGGTTTTTGAACAATGACTTCAAATTTAAATAATATGGAGCCATTCAAGTTTATTCCTTCTAGAGTGAGCTTTGAGACTTTGGGTCTTTCAAGGAATCCATTTCGTTTAGTATTTATTAATATGAAAGTGAATTATTCACAGATTTTAAATGTTAGCAGTTCTGTAGTGATCATTCTTATATTGGTAATTGTATCATCTCTCTTTTTCTCAGCTGAGACAGAAGTTCGTCAGTTTTACTGATCTTTTCAAAGAACAAACTATTGAACTCATTGATTTTTCTGTATTCTTTATCTTCTATTGTCTTTATTATTTCCTTCTATTTACTTTGGGTCTAATTTTCTCTTTAATTCAATTAAAAATAGTTTCTAATATACATTGTGACATTTTTTCTTTGACCCATAGGTTATTTAGAAGAATGTTGCTTAACTTCTAAATATTTGGAGATTTTCCAGATAATTTTTCTGTTACTGCTATTTAATTCTGTTTTGGTCAGAGAAAATGCTCTTATTATTTTAAAACTTTTAAATGTATTTAGCTTTATTATATTACCCCAGAATATGCTCTGTCTTGGTTAATGTTTTGTGTGCATTTAAAAAGAATGTGTGTTTTACTGTGGTTGGGTGCAGTGTTTTATAAATGTAACTTAGGTCACATTCATTGATAGTGTTTTTCAAGTATTTCTTTTACTTCATTATTTTGGCTTACATATTCTCTTGATTAGTAAAAGTGCTAAAATCTGCAATTATCATTTTATTGATTGATTGATTGATTGATTGATTGATTGAAACAGAGTTTTACTCTGTCACCCAGGCTGTAGTGCAGTGGTGCAATCTCGACTTACTGCAGCCTCCACCTCCCAGATGCAAGTGATTCTCCTGCTGTAGCCTCCTGAGTAGCGGGGATTACAGTCACCTGCCACCATTCCTGGCTAATTTGTGTACGATGTTATGCCATGTTTGCCAGGCCTGTCTCAAACACCTGCTTGCAAGTGATCTGCCCGCCTTGGCCTCCCAAAGTGCTGGGATTACTGGCATAGCCATCACCCCTGGCCACCAATTATAATTTTAGATTTAGCTTTTTTTTCCTTTTAGTTCTGTCAGTTTTTGCTTTATTATTTCACAGCTCTGTTATTAGGTGCATTTAAGGATTGTTAATCTTTCTTCATGAATTTTGAATCATATTTTAAAGGTATAGAATTCTAGATTAATTTACTTTTTATCTCTCATTAGTTTAAAAATGTCTTGTTATTTTTCTTTGGATTACATAATTTTAGATGGACAGTCTATAATCATTCATGTCTTTGCTTTTCTGTACATCCAATGTATTTTTTTCCTATGATTGCTTTAAAGACTTTATCACCTTTCAGTGATTTTATTATGATTATATGTTAGCTTTTCTTAATATATAAGTTCTTTCTCTTGTTACTAGTAGAAGCATTACTTAGGGTATAGGTAGAGTCAACAGACTTCAGATATTTTTGGTTTCCTGCAAAGTTCCTATGCATTAATATCTACTGCCAAGGAACCACCCTGATTTATGAGGACTTCCAATGGTTGATTGCAGGTTCATAAAGGCTTTTAGACATGTCACATTCTTTGATTCTACCAATACAAAAGGAATAGTAAAGTTTTATTGCTTAGTACAGTCAGGGCAATTCCACAGATTCCCTATCAAGTTGAGTCCTGTTAATAGCACAAGTTTTCATTTTCATGCGACTTGAAGTTAGTATGAAGAATTTTAGCATCTTTCTCAGGAACGAATACATTTTTTAAAATCCTGAAGCCTGTAACTATTCCAGTTAAATGATGATGATGATGATGATAATGATAGTAATAAAAAGAAATACAGTAATATTTTATAATACCTTGCAGCTTAGAAAGTAATTTCACATTTTTCTTTTTCTTTTACGATTATTTGTACTGAGAGGAAGTTTTTTAGACTTTAAATCAGTAAACATTGAAAAAAAAAAGATTTTCTAGCCTACCATTTTGAAAAGATTAAAAAACAAAACAAAACAAAAAAACAAGTAATAACACCTTGTCTAACAGCTCTAATACTTATTGTCATTTAATAGACAGAAATTATTAATTTCAAATGAGGTCAGCCATATTTAAAAGTCTATAAAACTAGAACAAATTGCTACCCCCAACCTTTGTTTTATGCTCATGTTCATAAGAGTAAAAGTGAATTTTCTTTCATTTTGGCAGGATCAATAGATGTGTTTGTGTTGTACCAGTGTATCCTATAGCAGATATTAGTTGAGAAATGAGATCAGTCCCGCATTTCTAGCACTTATGCAAGCAATGCAGGTTTTTTCTTTATGGAAAAGTTAACTCTTTTTTGTTTTCTTACTTTTATTTTAAGAGATTCACTTGGTTTTCCATGTTTTGTGACAGGTATCTTCACTCAAGGACAGCTGGGCCTGGTAGACATCATTTTCCAATACATTCACTGTGATGAGATCTATGAGGCAATAAACATACTGAGCAGCATGAACTGGGACACTCTCGGCCACCAGTGCTTTATCAGCATGAGTGCTATTGTAAACCATCTTCTTAGACAAAAGCTCACTCCAGAGAGAGAAGGTCAGGCTTGAAATATTTTTCATAGATGTATTTTGTATATACAGGAAATACATTTTATTAAATAAGTTATATTTGGGGGTTGTTTTTGAGTTATGTTATTTGAGATTAAATGATAAAAACTTTAGTGCTCTACTAAAACTCAAAGGATCAGATATCAAATGATTGCTCCCATATGGTACTTACTGTATAGTATTTGTCAACATAAAGAACAGCTTTTCTGTTTATGCTTATGTTGGAACACACAGTGTAGTAGTCATTGCACAATTCTGTCTTAAGCTGAAGGATATAACGTGCTCAGAGTTCAAACGTTGACCAAAAATTTTATGTACTCCCTGAGGTCTGCTAGACAGAGGGTACCAAACAAAGGTCTTTCGTTCCTCCCTCACATCAGGCATCAGTATTTTTTTCTCACACCCAAGTCCTCTGTCCAGACAATAGTCCTTAATATTTATTTTTTGTGTATCTGAATTGCAGCCCAGGCTGCTCCTTCTTATTTTCCTTATTCTGACTTATTGTTCTGACACTCTTCTCTCTTCTGCCTGCTTGGATTTCCTTACCTTTGCCCAGTAAGTAATTTTGCCCATAGAGATCTAAGATGTTTAATTTTAAAAGAGAAGTAAAAAAAAAAAAAAAAAAAAAAGAAAGAAAGAAAGGTTAGGGGATGGGGGCAGTGGGGAATGCTGTGACACATACAATAATGAAATAAATCTTTATATTTGCCAGTTATCTAGGCTTATTTTTCTTATAGGTTATTTATTTACTTAATGTATAATACACCTAAACAGTCTAACATTTGCATCTTTCATATCTTTGTGGTAAGCACTGACATTAATGGTGGAAAATTGTGGCCAATGAGAAACTGTCCCTGGGTAATTTATAAGCTAGGAAGAACAGGAAATATGTCAAGAGATCTTTACTTAGAGAGCTTTTCTTTTCTATTTTCTTTGTACTTTTATAGATTTTTCTTATCCCACTTTATTACGTTGACAAAATAAATAAGTTGTTTGGATAGAATTCTGTATGTAATCTTCATTTTAGTAATTTTAGAGAAGAATAATTAGTAAGAACATGCTCTTCCAGGAAGTCTGTATCATGGGTCTTGGCCCAAGTCACATGTGGCCCACAGTAAATATTTTTTTAATATTAATTGAATGTACTTTTTAAGGAGGTAGTCAAAATTTAAGGAAATTCAAATATATTTATTTATTTATTTAGAGACCAAATCTTGCTCTGTTGCTCAAGCTGGAGTACAGTGGCACAATATCGGCTCACTGCAATGTCTGCCTTCTGGGTTCAAGTGATTCTCATGCCTTAACCTCCTGAGTAGCCAGGATTACAGATGTGCACCACTACACTTGGCTAATTTTTGTATTTTTAGTAGACAGGTTTCACTATGTTGCCCAGACTGGTCTCAAACATTTGGCCTCAGGTGATCCACCTGCCTCAGCATCCCAAAGTGCTGGAATTACAGGTGTGAGCCACTGCACCCGGCCAAAAAATTCCAGCATTTTTATAATGAGAAAATGCCTAGTGCATGGCCCATACTTAGGTACTCAGTGAATATTAGTTAAAAATAAAAAGAATATAACTTTATAATTTTAGGATACAAGATACTACTATAATATTGCTGCTTGCAGAGTTAACTATTTGTTAGTATTGATATACTGTAATGACTGGGTGCATACTTAAAAATAAACATAAAAAATTTTAAAAAGCAGAGTCCCTAAAGAATGCTTATATTATACACAATCTATATGAGCAATCATAAATTTACACTTAAAGAAGAAATATTTTAAAGATAAAATATTGACTGAGCACACCAAGAAATTGCTAGCACCATAGTGAATTTGTCTTGTAAGATTACTGTGTTATAGGAAAGATTATTAGGGAATACACAAATGGGCATTATCCGATTCTTGCTTTAATAAAGGATATTTTCAAGGAGCCATATTGGGGAGATAGGGAAATAAAAAGCTTGTATGATACTAGGCTATTAAAATAAAATGTTTGTATGATGCTGGGTTATCAGAATATGTACATTTTAAGTAGGTATGTGCATTTCCCTCCAAGTAACTGCAAAACAGATTTCTAAAACATTCAGAATTCTCTCTTGAGATGTATTCTGAATCTAACAAATTTTATATGGTAATTTGTTTTCCTTTTATTAGTGGAACCCAGTGAGCTCTTTTATTTGCAGCCATGTTGTAGTTATCTTTGAGATCTTCATTTCTGCCTTAAACATCAAGCTGGGATATCTAATGAATCTATAACTGTGCTGGGAGTTATGAGTATTCCATATAGGTTCGAACATTTCAGATGTACAAAACATGCTGTCAAGAAAACAAGCAATGACAAGAGAATCTGGCTTGTTTTCACAATAGCATTGCTGTATTCAATTTTAATCTAAATTGACTGCTGCTTTGAAAGAAAATACCTCTAAAGTTCATCTTACTTTACTGTCTAGATTTGAGATTAAAAAAAAGAAATTACCTACAGCTTAGCCAATTCCATAGCAATTACTCTGATGAGGTGTTTAATACTTTCAAACCCAAATATGCCTAAAACTAGTTTTGTTAAATAAGGAATTGTTTATTCAACCCAGTGCTAGTAGCATGCAAATCAGGGGAGTCTCACTGTGAACTGTAGTGTTCTCATACATACTCTTACTCTCACTATTCTGGTTATTACTTAACTTCCAGATATTTCTGGGAAAAAACCTAGTCTCATAAGCATGTCTTGGCAAAACTGTGAAACAGGCAAAATGTGCCCTTTCCCCCAATCTTAGCCCTCTAGTTTATAAAAACCTGACTTTCCAGTCCTTCTTTCCTTTCCCAGGAGTCTAAGTTTTCTCACTTGGATAAAACCAAGAATCTTGCTGTTTAGGGTAGGACTTAGGGAAGATGCAGGGACTTTCATGGTTCTCTTCAAATTGCAGTAGAGACATATTTCTACTCCAATATGGCTGTTTATTTGTATTATTTTTTAAAAAAATTTCTACTATATCAATTTCAATTCCCAGTAGGGAAAAGTTAGTTTTCTCCTTTTAGCCAAAGAGAGTAAATGTTTAGCACACTGTGAGCTGATTTTACTGGAAGTACTAGTTCAAACTGCATTACTTTGATGAGTCACTGCTTTAATTACCCATTTGTGGTGAGAGGGTGGTTCATTATGGATTTCTTCAGTTTTGACAGCTTTTTGTTGCTCAGAGTCATTGTCAGCTTTGCCTCAAGTGAAAGTTTATACACAGGTTTGTTTTTGTACCAGCTGTCATATTTTAATTTCATCTTTCCTGCAACAAGCTCACATTTCATCCAAGTTTGCAAAACCTGACTGACTGCAAACATGAGTATTTTGTTGTAATTGAAGGAGTTTCACTTGTTTCAGTGCTGCTATGTTTGAATTCTACAGCACAGCTTGAGGCAAGCCTTGGAACCTTCTATGCTCCAACAAGACCACTTCTGGATACCACGATACTGGAATATAGAGACCAAATCAGCAAATATTCAAGGAGATTCTTCCACCATTTGCTCAGGTGAGTGATATATTTGGATTGATTAGTGTCAGACTAATTATTTCAGGAGACAGTCCTCTTTAATTAAAATATTCCATAGTAAGGCTACATGTTTCCTGACAGTCCATATCTTCAAAGCAATATACATCTTCTTTTGATCTTACTTAATTTGTTATTGTTCTCATTTTAAGGAAATATTTAAATATTATTTGTGACTTTCATATCATCAATACTTTTTAATATACCTTCCCTTTTAATATGAAAGAACAAATATCATCTATGTAAAGTCAGTGTAGAAATATTAACTGAATTATGCTGCTAGCAGTAAGTAAATATTTTCTTTTTAATTGAAGCTAATGATATGAATGTTCTGTAAAGCTCTGAGACAGTCATTGGTTTCTTTTTCTTTCAGAATTACTATAGAAACTTATCCATTGTCTTCTCATGTAATGTAGCAAGTTTCTAGTTTCAGTGTACCTCATTTTTTCTGTTTTAAATGGGTATAATAAATTTTGTTAACCTTAGAAATTATGTGAAAAATAATGTCAAGAAATTTCTGTAAGAAAAATATTGCAGAAGTTGAAAAATATATATATATATCATATATAAAGTTCAGAAAGCAGGATTAATAGATGGAAAGAAGGAAGATGAATGCATGGATAGATAATTTAGTGATATTTTTATAAATGTGCCAATACCGTAAGTAAAAGCAAGGGAGTAATTAGCACACAATTTAGAACACTCTGGAGTTAATAAAAAGAAATATGATAAAATAAGCATATAATAGCCTCCAAGGTATTGGTAATGTTCTATTTCTTAAGTTGAGTGGTAAATATCAGGGAATATTAAAAATTATTTTTAACTATGTGTATATATACACATACATATACATATGTATGTCTGTGTATGTTTGTATATATGTGTAGATATATTTATAGTATACTTTTGTATATGATATGCTATATAATGGAAAGTAACCGAATTTTCAACTCTATGTACCAAAAAGGAAGATTACATCAAGGAGTTGATTTTAGACTTTCAATTTTACTAATAATATAATCAGTTAGAATGCTTTTCACTCTTTCAAGGCCTTTGATGTGTATTCTCTTATTTCTTTCTCAGAAACCCCTGTTAAAGTAGTAGTATCATTTGAGAGATGGGTAAACTGAGGCATAGATAAGTGGCTTGCTTAGATCAAATAACAAGTTATTGGTGGTGCCAGATCTTGAACTGATTTTGATTCCCTGTTTCTTACTCTTTCTTTAAAACTGTTTGGCTATTATTGGCTGTATATTTTTAAGGTCCTGGCTTTATAAACTAACTGGAAGTTTTTATTCACTTAAGAGTAGACTGTTTGGTAAATCTGCCCAAACAGAAGGAGGACACCAGATTGGTCAGGATTTGAGAAGTTGTATTGTTGTATAGATATTCACGTTCTATAATTATATTTCTACATATAAAGTCGCATTTTGAAGTCTACTAAGCAGCAAAGTCTCTGGAAAACAGCAATTTTAGAAACTGAGAAACATTAAAACATTGCAAGCGTTTTGATATATAATTGAATCTTGCCTTTTCATCCGAATGATATTAGCATATTCCTAGATCCTTCATGTGAATGAAATGTCTTCTATGAATGAACATATAGTAAAAGTGCTGGGGTTAATATCACATTTATTTGGACTTAGAGCATTGTCCTTTGGTCTCATTGCTAATATTTGTTTCCCTGTTTCTGGGGAAAATTAGTAAATTCTCATCTTGCCTAAAGAGCCCAAAAAGATGAAAGTGAATGAAGCAGAAGTTTTGGAAGCATATTCTTTGTGTCCTCACTGTCTCTGGACTCTGAGATTTTATGTAGTGATGTAGTTTTTGCATAAGCATCATATTTGTAACCATCCTGCGGGTTCTAGGATGCTCTATTCTACTAATGTGCAATTTTTTTTCGTTGGTTTTTCTCAAATAATTGCTTTTTGGAAATACTTTGATAAGGTCATTATTACTATTATCATTATTATTTATTCTATAGCTTTCCTATGTGGTCACATCTGGAACTGGATGTTTTCCCTTAGGGTATACTAGCTTTTTCAGGTTTCTTCTTTTGCATATTTTGCTACTATTTCAATTATAATGAGTATTTTACTAGTTCTTCTTTTGACAGTATTATGAAAAAAGAAACAAAAGTTTAGAAGAAATTAAATGAGATAGCTTAAATTGGAACCATTCTTTTGTTTAATATGCTACCAAGAAATTCCTGTGCTTAGGGGAAGGAAAATAAGCCAAATACCTTTTCATATTTGTGAAGTGCTAGAATTACATTATTCTATCCTTTAGCTAGTCATTATTTTAATAATGTGATAAAAAAAAACTTTTAGATAATGGAATAAACCCTAAAACAGTAAAAACTATAATAGGGAGTTTTAAATTAAAGATAAGGAAAAGTAGCGCCACAGAGATTAGGGGTATGCCTAAATTACTCACATGGTTCTCAGATCAGCTGAATCTGGATTGGATTATTTTGATCAAGAGTAAAATATTATATTGATTTTAATTTAATCCAGCAAATGAGGGGTAAGATCATACTATGAATTTGTGATAATAGGCAAGTATACCATGTAGATTATTAAAATAATTGTTTTAGACAATTTTGTTTTTATCTTGACAGTAGAGGAATTCTACAGACATTGCTTTACATTTTTTGGTCTCTTTTGTCTTTGGCAAGTATAAAAATTACGTGAAAACCTTCTTCCAAATTCAAACAAATCTAAACTTCACAACATACCCTCATCTTTTTATATGCGTTCAAAGTGATCTGTTTTCAAAAGAAATGCTCCCTAGAAATATAAATTATGCTTCTAATGTTAAAGATAGTAAGAGAAAACAGAAGCACAGTCTTGATATGGTAGCTAATCAAGTTTTATTATAATAAAATTTTAAAGAGATGATAGAATGTAATTTATAAAATCATTAAACTGGAAGGCATTTACCTACAGAAGGTAAATGCAACTTTGCCTAAACTAAATTTAAAAGATAACTGGTCAACTGCCTCTCTGAAATTGAATAGTCTTCCACAAGTACTGAACAGGGAAGTGATGCCAAGTGAGAGTTTTTCATCATTAAAAAATAGAAACAATAATAGGAACCCCTAAATAACGATGAAATGAAAGGGCAGACATTTCAAATCAAGTGTGCCACATATGAAGCTTATTACCAGCATGGAAATATAATGTATTATAAAGAGTTAATAATTTATTTTAACTTTTCCCCCTTCCTAACTGTGACTGTTGTTTTCTGACTCAAATGGTGTTATGTGATTGTGGCACAGATAGTTGTGCTTTTTAAATGCTTATAAAAATATTAAGCAAAATTTGTAGAATGTGAGATTTATTGCCTAGAAATAATTTTTGTTTATGAAATATTAGTGGAGAAATATATTGATGTCTGCATTTTCCTTTGAAATGTAACAACAAAAAATATGAATTGATGGATAAATACAGATAGGTAGATATGTGATAAGCAATATTGTAAAATGATAAAGTCAAAATACATGTAGTAGATATTCTTTTAACTTTGCTGTATTTTGGGAAATTTTTATAATAAGATGTTGGGGATAATATATTGGAGTCAATATTTACACTTAGAATTCAGAAAAAAAGGGCAGTCTTTTGGAAATGGCTTTTAGCTTATGTAAAATATATATGATAGGCAAAACAAAAATCATTTTGTGACTAAAACAGTTCTTAGGCACTTCCATGTATACATGGCTTTTTCATTTATACTTTTCACTGATGGAGCATATGTAGTGAATAGAATATTTGTATGAAACCATTTCAAAGAACATAAATACTAAAAACGTTAATCTAAGAGCATTCAAGACAACAAGATAGAATGATCTTTAGAGACAAACTTCCTGGTCAGATCATCCAAATATGCTAGATAACATATTCAAATACTTATTGAAAGCATGGTTGAGCTGGCAGCAAAATAAGGGAAACAGGTTGAAATGACAGGGATGCTTGATTTCACAAGAGTAAGCAAACTTTAACATTCTCCTGGTGGGCATCTTCTGGTTCACAGTAAGATAGGTACTTGGTTTACAAAGGTTGTGTGCTCAGAAGATAGGAGACATAACTGAGGGCTCATGCAGAATGGAAGGTTGTGTCAGATGAAAGAGACAGCATCCTTCCTGAGAGAAGTGGAAGGAAGGAAGGCATGGGGTGCAAAAAGGAATGGTAGACGAAAAAATAATCATTGACTTATGGAAACCTAAACAAAAATTGATCATATAAAACATATACAGTAATGTCTAATTCAGGGGGTTAAAATTTTTTTTTAAATCTTGGACAGTAGCAACATAGAAGAGGAATGAAGAGAGTTAAAACATTCTAGGGTCCTTCTGCTTTTCAAGAGGAGATAAAGATATTTATTAATTCTAGATAGTAGTAAGTGAAATACAGAATTTCTAGGGTAATTACTAAAAGGAAAGAAATATAGTATATAATTTTCAAGCAAGGAGAGGGAAAATATTGGATAAAGAAAAAAATTTAACCCCAAAGATGGCAAGAATTAGAGGAAAGTGCAGCATGCAGGGGCAAAAACATGCAAAATAGAAAACACATAGTGAGATACTGGCAATGAATTAAAAAATCAATAATCATGGTTAATGTAAGACTTTTTTTCTCAGTTTTTTTTTTTTTTAAAGACATCTGAAACATAGAAGGTGGCTGGGTGCTATTGCTCACACCTATAATCCTAGCACTTATGGGAGGCCAAAGCAGGAGAATCGCTTGAGCCCAGGAGATTAAGACCAGCATAAGCAACACAGTGAGACCCTGTCTCTGCCAAAAAGAAAAAGAAAAAAAAAAATAGCCAGGTGTGTGGTGGTGCATGCCTGTAGTCCCAGCTACGTGGAAGGCTGAGATGGGAGGATGGCTTGAGCCTGGGTGTTCAAGTCTGCAGTGAATTTTGTTCCTGCCAATGCACTCCAGCTTGAGTGACAGCAAGACCCTGTGTTATTTAAAACTAAA